TTGAAACCCTAAAACAATCTTTACTTTCAAGATGTTTTCTGCAAAAAATACAGATTTTAGTTTCCCCAAACTTTACAGATCTTTTTTCTGCTTGAAAATAAATCATTTGCCATAGGGATTAAATCTTCATTTTGATTTTTCTTGTTCTCTCAGGAAGTGGATTAAAAAGTTTTAAAACCTGAATTTCCAAGTGAAATTTGTTGCTTTCCTTCAACTTCATTTCTTAATTGCTTTAATCTTTCACAATAGGAGCCTTCTGCGAGCGAAAGCGTGATCCTTTAAACAAACCCTTAAAATTTCTTTAGGAATACATGATTCGACCATGGAAAGAAATTGTGGCATATTTATAACTCATCATTCCAAATGACTCTTAAGCTCTTAAATAAGATTCTAGTCTATCCTACAACACTGCACTATTAATTTTTCCCTTATTCTTAGTAGCAATTTTTATCATTAGAGCAATTCACAAACATAAAATTCTATCAGTGATTCTTTCCTTTCAGACCTTGTCTTGAGGCATTCTGTGACCTTTTTCATATTTTTCTGAGATGAAAAAGTCTGAGATGGTGAGAAAAACTCTCTTATAATATCCTGAGCTGCGATACCTTTATCATTACTTGAAATATGAAATTAAATTTATCTCTTTTTTTTTTTTCCCTTTAATTTGTCTTCATGAATCAATTTAAATTGGCTGCAGAATGTGAGTTAGTCTTTGACCTCTCCATCAAATTGTTTGTTCAATCTTTGGCAGTCTAAATGTCCTATTACGAAGATTTGATGATAAATACTTCAAAATGGAAGTGTCAGTTGGTGTAGTTTGGTTGCTACAAAACTTCTGTGCTTTCATTTTAGCTGAAACCATTTTTTCTTCATTTTTCAATATCTGCATATTGTGCATCATATTCCTCATCTCCTTTAGTTTCACTTAAAATCATGTTATCTATTTCTTTAAAGCTGTAGAAGTCGACTTTCTAATGTAGCCCATCTCGTTTCTATGACTTCAACATCATGCATCTCTGTGCTTAATTCTTCATTTAAAACATTTAAATTTCTACAGAATGATGCCTTAATAGGCCTACAATTTCTTACTAATTCATTCATTGTTTTATAATTATTTTATTACTTTAAATTAATAGTAAGAAGGCTAATCTACTTATTATGACTACAAAAGATCACATCCACTTCACCACGATGTCACAGCGAGTTTCAAGAAATTGACTACCGTACAATTTCTGACTTCAAAGTTTAATTGCAATCCACAGTTTAAAAACTTGTTCAATATAACATATTTACTTTAACTCTGATCTTTACTCTTATTTTATTTATTCTTGGCTTACATAATGTCCTGTACATTGGGAGAGAGAGAGGGGGGGGAATCAGCTTTTAGAATCAAACATTTTCTGTCTTATTATCCAAGAATGCTAAGATCAAAATTAAATTATTAATATAGAAAAATAAAAATTCTAAATGGTTTAATTAACAATTAGCAAATTTGTATATTGTGAGTTTAATTTTTACTCCTCACGAAACTTATCCATTTTCAAAACTGAACTGTATTTCTTTTTTTAATTGTGTATATAAAAAGTTCCTTTTTTCTCCTTTGAATTCAAGATCTTCATTGCCATATGTCTTACTCAAGGCATAGGTATTATTCAAGCCATAGACAAATTAAATGTGTATATGAATCAATTTCTCTTGGAAAATCCTGCATGAAGGCATACCTTCCTCTAAGCAGGTAGCCTTCACATGCATTGCATTAATCAGTTAACTTTTTGATTACTTTTGAAAATGTAAAAAGAGAAAGGCCAGTTTTTTCCCTTGCTTTTACATATCAAAAAACATATAATATCTAACCTTCTTAATATTCTTTTTGTTATCAGTAATAGTAGGTGTATTATTTAATAAAAATGTTATATATCTTGTGATTATAAAGAACTGTATAATGAAAATTCTTAAATCTTTCAAGCAGTAAATAAATTTTGAAGATTTTTAAAATTATGTCTGAAGAAACATGTAAAAATTTCTGTTTTATGGTATGGGGAGAAATTGACTTTTTAAATGTGTTTATGTAAACAAGCACTCTTTTTATACTAATAACCTTTAATGAGAAGAGACTGTTTGATTACAGAACAGTTTTATTAAATACATTATTCTGAGAATACTTAACCCATTTATGTGTATCATCCTAAATGTAGAGCGGTTCACAATGGTACATCATATTAACTTTAGGTCAATAAATCACAAAATACTCACTTTTTGTTCAAAATTCTAGATTTTTAGTGCCTTCGGCATGAATGGGTTTATTTTGAATTCAACCATACATGATTATGTAACTAATAGTACTAATTTTCTATTTAGATTTTTTGTTGTAGATTTCATTGTGCTAATTTGCATAATTCATGCTATTGGAAAGAGGAACTTGAATCATTTGCTGCAATTTAAAAATAAATTTTTGGCTGTCTTCTTTTCTTGTTTTTATATTTCCCTCCCCTTTTTTTGGTGGGGGGATGCAAATAAGACTAAGCTGAATGTGCAATTAGGTTTTATAAGAAAATTCTATCATTTCATCTAAAGGAGTGAATACTTATCATTTGAATTTCATATTTAAAAATTTAAGGACATTGTTTATTATGTGTAGCAGTTTGAGATAATAATTTAATAAGCAACATAATTTTTCTTTTACTATTGTTTGGCATTTTTATGTAAATTATACGTAAGAAATTCATGGTTTATGTAATAAAAATTTCAGTACTTTCTTATTAAATGGTCATAATGTAAGCCTTTGGTAATATTTAAAAGTTGCATATTATAAACATGTCAGTTAAGTTTTGGCCATTAACCAGAATGGCTCCTTTAACAAGGAAGCACCAGATTTTCCTTTTGAACAATACACATTTTATATGAATTATAAATATGTTTCTCTTATAAATCCTTGTAATATGGCAAAAGCTGGCTCACAGACAAAATGTGGCCTTTCAAATTATTAATCTGGTCTGTTATGAAATCCTGCGTTATGGCATTTTCATCTTTCTCCTATCCAATTTTGTATGCAAACTACCGAAATCAACAACACGAGTACACATCTATTGTTATAGTGTATATGCAGATATATGTGCATGATTATACTAGCAATCAGATTAAGTTGAGGACACTAGATGTGCTAAGATTATAGTCCTATCATTTCTAACAGTTTTAATTTAGAAATTAAACAGTGGCATATGATTATTGTTATACATAATTAGAAAAGGAAGCTTAGAACATTTCACTTTTATTTGAAAACGGAGCAACATACATGTCGATCACTTGATAACCAATATGAATAGATTATGTTTTTGACATATTTGAAATTTTTATAATTGTATTTTTTAAAATTCCTACTAGTAAGGGGTGCCCTCCCCATTGCACCCTGTAAAAACAATTGGGGCACTGCAAAAACACATTACGACCCTGCCCATATGATCTACTAAAAAAAACTTTTTTGGCCTGCTGTGAAAAGAATTTGATTTTTCCTTATCTAGAGTTATTAAATTTGAAAAATCAATAACTTTGACGTGTATGTACATCTCAAAGCCCATATTAAATTCTTTTTATTTATATTTAAAAAAAATATTTATATATTTTGGGTTAATTTAATGAATTTTTTATAAACAAACTAGGGCATTTAAAAACAGTTTATTGCCACTTGGCAAAATGTAAGGTATTTGTTTCAAATTTAATAATGAAACTCAGTAATTTGAGAGAAATATGTTGAAATATGGACAAAATGTAAGATATTTGTGTTTTAAATGAAATCAGAAAACTCAGCAACTTAAAAGAAATGGTTCCAGTACATGAAACAAAATATTTGTCTTCTATGCACCCATTGTGTTAGAAAATATTTAGTTTTTCTTTAAAATTTAATCTGTTAATGATTTACAAACTAAGCAATTTAAAAGCTCTAAATACAGTTCTTTATCTGTATTATTGTTAATTATTAGCTGGACGTAAAAAATTAAACAAGCTAGTCTCATTAAAAATATATATTTTTCCTTTTTTTATAATGCATTTAAGCAGCTGGATGCATAAGCAGATAATAATCTAAAATAATAAATGTGTATCAGAATTAAATCGTTTACAAAAATATCAAACATTTCATAATAAAAATTAAACTTTTGATTTACTGTCATTTTGATTGTCATCTAGTTAATCATATTTAAATTTTTGCTCTATATGTTGTATTTGAAAAGACCAGTTTTCTGACCCTTGGATTTAATGTATTTTTATGAACTATATTTGAAAATTTATTCTTCAAACTTTTGAATTTTGTTTCCTTTTTCAATGTTTAATTATGTTTGATTTTCTATAATTTTTGTGCTTATCTTTCTTATTCTACTAAATTTAATTTTAACCATTCCTTGTAAAAAATAAATAGAGAAAACCTATGCATTGCAACTGACATACCATTAAATTCTTACTCATATAAGAGGCCCACCAGCGGGTGAGCAGTAAAGTCGCTGAACACTGGTAGTTCGGTCTGAGGTTCGAATCCCGCGAACGGGCTGGCTGCGTGGGCGTTTTCGTGGTTTCCCCATGTGCAACGTGTATACGAGCCAGTTTCCCTTAGAAAGTCCTCCACAAAGGCATCCCTCCCATTAGGCAGATAGATCTAGTGTACTTTGCCGTAATCTCAATAAACCAAACAAACCAAACTTACTCATATAAGAAGTAAAAATAAAGTATGCACATACTTTTTTACTTTTTATAATATGTAACATTTTCTTCTTTGCGAGCTCCTGTATTTTAAACCTGGATTATATAAGAAAGGAATATTTAATAAATTTGTGCAATGGTAGGATATGTTAAAATATACTTTGAAAATATTTTAGATATTTTTTGTAGTTATTAATTATGTGATGTTAAATTGTTATTCCTTAAAATTGACATAATTAAGATATTTGCTTCAAATAAATTTATTTATGTTTTCATATATAATATTTATAAGTTAAATTTTTTTTTTTCAGGTCTATAGCTGATGCTATTTTACAAGAAGCATCACCTTTAACAGTCCATTTTGTCATGTTTATACCTGCTCTGATGGGGCTTGCCACTGAAGACCAGCAGGCAAATTGGCTTCCAGATGCTTTTGAAATGAAAATCATTGGATCTTATGCTCAAACAGAGCTTGGTCATGGTCAGTCAATTATATTTTAGATATTAAGTATTTTAATGTTTTGAAATTAAACAACTTAGTTTAATAGTAATAAAATAGATAATATGAATTTAACTATTTTAATTAATTCATGTACTGAGACTGCCTTAACTTACATTCTTATCTCAGGACAACAGAAGAATATCCGACACCCTTAGGCAAGAAAATTTAGACATCCATTCCACTTCATATTTTTGAGAAATGAACAAATATCAATATTGTCTGTTATTTCTTTAAAGTACCGTACACTTCTGGAGTACACCACAATTTTGGTGATCTCTACAGAGCTCCATAATTGTCAAGAATTTTGGTGGTCGTCTTAGAGAATTAACTGTTCACTAATGTACTTATATAAGTTCACTTACGTATGGATATATGAAAATATGAAATTTTTAAAAATACTGTTAATATATATATGTTATAGTGAAAGACACAAATTGAAAAATGTTGACATTGTTTGGTGAATTTCAATACAAAATGTGTTGGTGAAAGACCGAATATTTGGTTATATTGTTACACATTCGGACCATAACCAGTGTATATCAACAAGCACAGATATGCTCTGGTGGAGGTTGAGACAAGAAGACAGGAAAAATGAAGCGTTCCATGACTAAAATGCAGTTAACTAAATACAGTTGTAAAATCAAGGGATTCTTGTGCAGTTTAAAGGGTCATTAAGAGTTTTAAATTGTTGCAATAAATAAGATTGTATAATATTAATAATAATAGAAAGTTTATTATTGCTGTTTTCTTTTCTCATTTAGAATATATTGTTGATTTTAAGTTCAACAGTTTATTTACATGTGCTGTTACTTAAGCTTTCTCCTGTTTTAACATATATCATAATATGTTTTAATGATGAAGTATAATTTAAAAACTTACCAAAATATTTTTATTGAACATTTACTATCAATGCATGGGGAATGTTGACATTTGCCAGTGTAAGTTAGAAGGATATTTAGCAAATATTCTGACATACACGGAGTGACTGTGTGAATGTTGACATTCTCAAGATTTTGATCTTTGACAGTAAACTATATAATTATACAGATAATTTAATCTAAATTTTAAATTCATCTTTTACTGAAACTGCAGCAAAAGGAATAATAAAAAAGAACATTGTACTTAAAATATAACTACTGCTGAAAATTGAGTGAGTGACACTCATTTAAAGTTCATAGATCATAAAATCAAAATTATTTTTCTAAATTTATATATTACACACAAATTTCTTTTTATCTTCCATATATATAAACATCTTGATTATATATGTATTAAGATATAAAATATGAAAGAAAATTTCTAACTTTATTTTAGCGATAGTCCTTTTAATTCCTGCTTTAAATTTAGCTACGTCCTTTTTGTCTTCTGTCTCATGCATTCTAAATTTATTACAATTAATAGAAGTCATCTGTAGAATTATAACATTTTAAATTTATTCCTCCCTTCACCCTCCCTTCAAAGAGAAAAGTCTTAGTGATAGAAAAGCCTTTTAAAAAAAAGCATTAGGGAGTTGGTAAAATATATATGTAATTTTGTGAAAATTTTAAAAATTTTTGTCTGAATTTTGAATATAAAACTTTTGACCAAGGAATGTAAATTTTAGAGTTCAGCCAAAAATGTCAGTCCAATTTAAAAGTCTGTAAGTTCATTTTTCACTCAAAATGTTGTAGACTGAGAAACAATTGAAAAAAATTCATAATTCTGGAAAATCTTTGCTGGCGAAACATTTCGTATGTAAAGCAACATAAAATAAAGTTTGGAAGTTAACAAAATACAGTATAATAACAAAGTAAACTTAGATGAAAAATTGCAGGTTCTCTACAAGCAAATCAGCTTAATTACTAGCTGGTATCTCTGGAATGTTTAAATACAATAGCACATAAGTCTCTATTCCTTACACAAGGTAACTAGCTTTTAGCATTGTATAAATATATTAGATTCTGTTTATAATTTATGGTAATAAAATTCTTCAAATTATGTAACTGAAATAAAAACATAAATATATGAAAATTCAAATTAAGACAAATAATTTGTGTACTTAAATTAGGTCTTACAAATTTAGTAAATAAAATTTTACATTTCCTTACAATAATAATTTTTTCTAAAAAAATTAGATAATAAGAAGCTGGATTTAGAGAAAATCAAATTTGATTAAAGTTTTGATTCTGCATAATCCTATATATGTTCAGGGAATACTTTTCAAAACATTTTACACATTATCACAAATACAAAAATTTTGACTCGCCCCCAAAGTCCTGCTATGCTGCCTCAACGTGGTGGGGGGGGGTGTCTCTAGCCGGAACGGGTGAAGTACGTCGAGAGCATAGCTCCTGGTAGGGCCACCCTAGGCGTGAAGGCCGTTCCAACATACCCAGCTAAAGCATAGCAGGTGAAGAACCCTCAGGGGATTGCCGTCTTGGTGATCGGGTGTCACACTCCCGGGCCCCCAGTGACCTTTCCTCCTCTTTCTTTCCTCTCCTCTTGTCTAGCTCTCTCTCTCCTATTTTTCTCCCTTGTGGTTTCCTCTACTGGAGGTTGGGCTCACTGTGAGATGCAGCTACTACTCTCTAGGTTTCTGTTTCACCATGGTGAGAATACCGCCTATGCGTTTGCCGTGCATGGTGACCCGTAGGGTGGGAAAGGAGGATCCTGGCAGTTGAGGGGCGAGGTACTGTCCCCAACACACTGCTTTGGCCTCTGCTTCTACTTAAAACGGGAGGCACTTAGCTGTCCCCGCTAGTGTCAATCGGCTGGTCCACTAGTCCCTATTGGTCAGTGGCTAGGGGATAAGCTCTCGGAAGTCTCCGCTTTTTCGGGAAAGCCGACTGTGGGGCTTCAGTTTGCGTATAGGCCCCGGCTAGCCCTAACACAGGGATCTGTGTTCCCTTGTTGGGCTCCATGGTGGGTGGGGCGGTCGGGCCCGAAACGTTCTCTCTTTTCAATATGAAAACTTTAACTTCTTCTCCTAACCATATGGATACGAAAAATTCTGGAGCTGCTAAAAGAATTTGCACTTCGACCTTAGTTAGCACAAGCAAATGTCCAAAGTTCTTAGTTATTACTGGTCAGCTAGAAAATTTATCACCATTCTTCATCCATAAGCATATTGTGGCCTCAGCAGGCGAGCCAAAACACATAAAAAAGCTCCGTTCAGGATCTCTGCTCATCGAGACTACATCTGATGCACAATCTTCCTCTCTCCTAAAAATGACCAAAATGGGGGAACATTCTATTACTGTATCCCCACATAAGTCTTTGAACACGTCAAGAGGTGTCATTTCGGAAATAGACTTGATATCAGTCTCTGAGGATGAACTTTCAAAAGAACTCGCCGAGCAAAATGTGTGTGGGGTCCGCCGAATAAAAGTCCGTAGAGACGGGCAACTCGTCAACACAAAACATCTTATTCTGACTTTTTCATCTCCAGAGCTACCGAAAGCCATTAAGGCAGGTTACCTGAATTGCCCCATCAGACCTTACGTGCCGAACCCACTGCGCTGCTTCAAGTGTCAACGGTTTGGCCATGCGAAGGCCGCATGCCGGGGAAACCTGGCATGTGCTCGCTGTTCTGCAGGTGGTCACGAAAGTCAGGAATGTGTAGCTGATCCAAAATGTGCAAACTGTCATGCCGATCATCCAGCATACTCACGAAACTGCCCTAAGTGGAAAGAAGAGAAAGAAATACAGCATATTAAGACTACAAGAAAAATCTCCTATCCTGAAGCTAAGAAACTTTTTAGCACGGGTCAGTCAAAAGCAAATGTCTCCTATGCACAAGCCACTAAATCATATCGGTCAATAAGTACACAAACATCGCATAGCACACAGAAGAAGACACCTGAACCAAAAACAAATGACAAAGAAAATGTTTTTTCTCTACCTCCTCCCAAACAGACAATAGAAAGTCGAGAAATAAAAACACAAGAAACAGAGAGTTCAAAAAAGAAAATCAAAAGCTCAGAAAAGAGAAGCTCAAGCCGAAGCTCTATTGAAGGGATCTTTTCAGACTTTATCGAATCTGAGATGGAAACAGATGGAGGCAGAGATCTCTCGAAAAATGTTCTACCTCACAAAACAAAGAAACAGCATCGAAGCAATAAACATTCCTAATGGCTACTCTCATTTCGTGGAACTGCCGGGGCTTCTATCAGGGTATTGATGGCATTAAGCAACTTATTAATAAATATCGACCTATTTGTATAGCGATACAAGAGACATTCCTCAAACCTGGTAATTTTGCAAAGCTACGTAGATACTCGATGATAAGAAAGGATAAGACATTCAGTGAACGCGCAAGTGGTGGTGTCTGTCTACTTACCTCCTCAATTAATTGCCCTTCGAGTGCTCTCCCTTTGGATACTCCTCTCCAAGCAGTTGCAGTACAGTTGAGCATTCGAACACTGACTACTGTTTGCAGTATTTACATCCCGCCTAATGAGAACATTAATTTAAGAGATTTAGAGGATCTAATTGCCCAACTACCAGCTCCGTTTATTCTAGTCGGTGATTTCAATGGACACAATCCCTTGTGGGGTAGTAAAGACACAAACCCACGAGGGAAAGCAAATTGAACAGCTACTCCACGACCACTGTCTCTGTATCCTTAACAACGCAGAAAGCACTTATTTTCATCAGCCAACAAGGACCTTCCATTCCATTGACCTTGCTATTGTTTCTCCACAGCTTTTGCCATTTTTGTTTCTTTAATGTCGAGAATTATCTATATAATAGCGATCATTTTCCTATTATCATAAGCATTACAGGAAATAGGAGTGTGTTTTTATACCTAGAACACCACGCTTTTTGTTGGACAAAGCCGACTGGGACTCTTTCATTACATTATGCTCTTTTTACTGAAGAAATAATAAAGAATGTGCACATTGATCAGGCTGTGAAGATCATTACAGATAAAATTATTCAAGCAGCTGATATATGTATACCAAAAACGTCGGTAAAACAGCCAAAATACCCAAAGCCCT